CTCGCCTCCGCCCCGGTCACCCCCGGCCTCCTCGCGCGCGCCCTCTCCCTCTTCCCGGGCCCGGACGACGCCGTCCGTGCCTTCTCCTCCTCCGCCCCCGCCGCCCGCTCCGATGTCTCCCTCTCCGCCCTCCTCTCCGCGCTTCTCCGCGCGGGCCGCATCGACGACCTCAAGTCAACCTTCAAATCCGCCGAGTCCTCGCTCGGCGTCGCCCCTGGCCGCGCCTCCCACAACGTGCTCCTCCACGCTCTGGTCAAGAGCTCTGAGCTCCCCGCCGCCCGCAAGCTGCTCAATGAAATGGCCAAGAAGAAGTTTAAGCATCGCCCGCCCGCGGACATCATATCCTACAATACTCTCCTCGCTGGGTTCTCCGAGCAGGACGATGCCGAGGAGTTTGAGAAGCTGCTCAAGGAAATCAATGAGAACAAGCTGGAGCCAAACGTCGTCACGTACAATTGCCGGATGCGGTGGTTTGCAAGGAAGGGGGAAACCTTCAAGGGCGAGGAGCTGCTCGATGTGATGGAGTCAAAAGGCGTGCTGCCCAATTACGTTACTTACAATGCGCTTGTGCAGGGGTACTGCAAGGAGGGGAATGTCGGGGCCGCCATGCGAGTATTCAAGAGGATGAAGGTGATGAAGAGGCGGGAGGGGAGGAGTGACTTGGGAGTGTCGGTGCACTCGCAGACATATGTCCTGCTGTTTAAGAGTTTGGTCGAGAAGGAAAGGCTTGATGATGCACTGTGGCTTTGTAACAGCTGCTTTGCAATGAAGGCAGCCCCATCATTTGAGGCTGTCAAGGGTTTAGTCGAGGGGTTGGTGAAGGGAGGGAGGTCTGCAGAGGCGAAGGGTGTTGTTGCCAAGATGAACTTTCTTGTGAAAGGGGATGCTAAAGTTGCTTGGGAGAAGATTGCTGGTGAATTATCTCTTGAAGAGGGAGCACCAAGTTCAGATCCATGATTTGTTGGAGGCATGCAAGTCAGTTCTGATTTATTCAAGTGTTTTGGCCTTTGAATAACGTTGATGAAGAAGAAGGGCATTCACATGGGTTCTAGTATTGTCTTCATGTTATCATGGGCCTATCTTTCAAGGTCCAATAGTTAGATCAGAGTGTAATGTCTCTATAAGGCAGAATGGTCAGCGCCATTTCATAATCCCTTTTCTGTAGGAGCTTCTTCTATTTTGTTGCCTTTTGGTAATACTTAAAAAGATATTACATTTGTTGAAGTGCTAAGGGAATCATGATACTATCTACTATCTATCACTGTAACCGTTTGTTTAGTGTAATTCAGAATAGTTTTATGATAATGGTATGTTTCAAGCCTCAGTTGTTCTGCTTCGTTTTCCTTCTGAGAGGAAGGTAGTTGTACCAGTACTAGTTTGGTCATGCACTTGTACATTGTACAACCAGCACAGATTAAAAAAAAATCACAGCTTATACAGTCTTGGGAACAAACTCGAGTAACTGACATTGTTTGATAATTGATAGCATAAAGCATAAAATTACAAAGTACTGAGTATGTAGTGAACAGAAATCATCAAGACGCTATGCTTATGATATTCTTACAGTATATAATTATAGTCGCGAATTGCTATCCTTACACTGTATAATTATAATTGTGAAATGCTACCGTGCCATGTAAAGCTTGTTTGTGACCTTTCCATATATCTGGTAGTAACCTACTTGGATCTCCTTCAATTTCAGTTAATGCCCCGAACTAGCAGTCCTTCAAATGTGATGCCTGGGCCAAAAGCCAAGATCAATCCCCACTCTTCCCTTATTGCCCCTTTCTTCAATTCATCCCTCAAATACTCCAGCACATAGAAGACTGTGTTACTGCTCACATTCCCATAGTTCATCAGGGCCTTTCTACTGATCTTGAGTTTATCTGGCTCAAGTTGAAGACAAACCTCCAGCCTGTTCAATATTGCTGGTCCACCGGGATGCACAGCCCAAAATACATCATTGAACTCCTTTATCCCAACCTTGTCCATGAGTATCCTGCAGAAGCCTTCTATGCGGCTTTCAATCTTTTCAGGCAAATCACGCCCCAGTTTGAAGTTAATCCCTTCCTCTGAGATTTTGCCATCAATTACCTTGTCTGTCCCTGGTAGGAACTCCTGGGTTGAGAACTCAAGCTCCAAGAAAGGATCCTCTTCTGCTTTGATAGGGCTTGCTCCAATAATTGCAGCTGATGCACCATCACCAAACAGAGCAGCACCAACAAGGTCATAAGGACGATCAGGGCTTGGCGGCCGGAAGCCCAACACAGTTGTCTCCGCCGCTATTACAAGGACACGGCTCCCTGGGTTGTTCTCTGCAATGTCCTTGGCAGTGCGGAGGGCGGCAGCACCACCTGAGCAGCCAAGGAAGAGAAGGGATGTGCGCACTGTGTTTGGAGAGAGGCCAAGACGGGTTGCCAGGAAAAGATCACCCCCTGGGAGGCGAAGCTCGCTGGAGGAGATGTAGACCAGGTGGGTAATATCAGCTGCCGGACGGCCCCACTCACCAAGGGCGGCACGAGCTGCAGCAGCACCAAGTTCAAGCACCGCGGCATTGCAGATGTCAAGCCGTGGCGTCAATGTTGGAGTGCCTTCTGTCTTCAATTCTGGGTGTTCATCCAGGAGCTCCTTCGACATGACAGTGTACCTTGTCCTCACTGTTGTGGTCTTGCCTGTCAAATCAAATCACAGGGGAACCATTATACATACATTGGAGGGACTGATGCAAATTACTACTCCCTCAATTCGGAAATAAGTGTTGTGGGTTTAGTTCAAATTTGAACTAAAACCACGTCACTTATTTCCAAACGGAGGGAATACATAACAAGTAAGTATAGTTTATAGTTTGTGATTATGTACTATTAACTCTTATTTGCTTAGCCCTCACCACAAACAGAAGGACAAAAACAAATGGTGTTCTAGTGTTCTTTTTTGAGGGGGTGTCCTAGTGTTTCTCCTAGAGCAAAAAATAAGTACAATTGGAGAGTAATAATTCTAGTTGTGCATGCATGTTGTTTCTAGGTGGATTTTTTTTGGAGCGGTCAATGACTGTAGGCGAGTTTTCCTACAGTCTTTTCTTGTGGAATTTTGTTTCTAGGTGGAATTTTGTTGTGTTTCTCATCACACTAATTCCATTTTACACAATTTATATACTCTATAAAATAGGTTAGGTACTGCTGATTTTCTTAAGCTAAACTGTAACTGGGATTTAGTAATAATGACCATGTTAACATTTTATTTACCGAGTGGAGATTTGTCGCACTTTGCACCTATGATAACTGACAGTTATACTAAAGCATGGTAGATTCTGTAAACTAAGATGCTGCAACCAAATGGCAGTATTACTACAACTCACTAGTGTCAATGATCTCTTTACGGAGAATCAACTATTTTTGTTTTCGAAGTCGACAGAGAACAACTATTGTTGCCAACTTAAAACTCTCAGCCCGGGAAGCTGTTATATGTAAAACTACAAATGACATGAAGGAAGGGAACTCACAGAGGCGTTCGAGCTTGGCCCTGGTGGCGGGATCGTCGCAGCTGGTGTCCTGGAGGTAGGTCTCCACGAGCTTCTCCTGGGGTAGAACTTGTTCAGGGAGTCCCTTGCCGAGCGCGAGCAGCTTGGCCTTGCCCCCCAAGCCTTGGCTTCTGCCGTTGCCGCCTCCGCCAATGCTCCCGACTCCACCAAGGCCAGACATCGCTGCCTCACAGTCGCTCCTTGCTTCCTTCCGCTTCAGGTTTACAAGTTCTCCGCTCCTGTGATTTCGCTGTGTGCATGATGGGTGCTCCGCTTTAATAGGGGATGCTCGCCATGGGACTGTTTGGGTTCAGGCTTGCAGGGAGCGGGTTGTTTGGTGTTAGGCCTGAGGGAACGACGGCATGAGTGTAAACTGAAAAGGATGGTAGGTTGTGGATTGGTCATCTGGTTTTCTTCCAGTTTTTGTGGAAGGGCGGCTCGGCGAAGGTTCGTTCTTCACACCCCCTTCTTTGGCTCGCCCATAGTTTTTGCCCATCTATTCGGTGTGATCTTTTTTCATGTGACCCCGTGCCCTGTTGTAAAAATGTCTCGTGCTTGTTTGTTTACCTGAAACGTGGTTGATGCTGGAGTCTGTGGGCAGGCAGACACACTTGCTCGTGAAATGTGGTTACAGTTTGTTACTAGTATGAGCAGTGACTCTTCACTTCTCTTCGGTGGGTATACTGTTTCTTGGAAATTGTCAGTTTTCAACATCACTACAAGGTTGTTCTGGAGCTGAAACCTGGAGGTTCTCTTCTGTTGCTGCTTGTGCCTGGGACGCCTAATACGCGGTCTGCGCGCAACTTGTGCCACCGTGCCAGGATTGTTATATGCACACACTCGGCGCCCAACTCAAGCCCGCGCGACACGGCTCCCTGGCTCCGACGATCCTTGCCCACACCGTGCGTGCGCTCTCTAGACGGCCTGTACCAAGCGGCACGGCTAGCATTGGCTTCAAAAACTGCCCAAGACGAGGTAGAATTGTTCGGTCACTCCCAACATCGCCACCTGTTTGACTGCAGCTGCATGCTTCCGTTTCTTATCTTTGGCGATACTCTGTATACTCGTCGTGAGCATCTGTTGCACACAGCAGTCTTCTACAGACAATGCGTAGCCTCACATCGCCGGTTTGCTCGACATGACCAGGACGAGGCCCGGTTGTGGGTGAAGAACAGGGGCTGTCGGACTAAACATGCTACTCCCGGGGATGTCTAGCTTCTTCTTCTTCTTTTTTTTTGAGAGAGAGAGGCTCCCACGGTATGCTTTACTGGTTGCAAAACATGATTACATCGTTCACAAGATATAAGTAAGGCAATAAAAAGCTAGGTGGTTCATCAACCCAAGTACAAGTAATTCTAGAAATATGGAGTTGACAGGGTGGAAGGAGAAATCCTTATGAACACCTACGAGAGACTGGAACGACAAATATTTAAATTGACGAAGTTACCACAAACATCTCGTGGTCAATGAAAACTTCATCTCCCGTCGCAAAAATGCTTGGAATAAATTTAGAAAAAATTGACATTCATACCAAGTCAGACAGTAAAACCTGAACGGATTAATTCCTTAATAAGGTCAGCACGATACATATAGCTCCCGCTTGCGCAGGAACAGAGGAAGGATCCTTTCATGAGTGGGTTGATTCCTTAAAATTCTAAAATCAACCAAGAGTTCCGAAAGAAATCCTAAAGTTTCAAGATACGGGTCTGCTTCTCCTCTAAGAGCAACTCAAACAGTTCCCCTAAAAATCTTCGCGTAAACCATAATTTTTAGAGGAAATTGTCTGGAAGCAACTTTTGTCAGTTCTCGTATAATTTTTGTGAGCATGAGGTGAGATTGAGGCTGATTTACGAAAATCTCTTTATTGTTTTTTTTGCCACGACTGTTAATTTAAAGATAGGGGAGTGTTTCCGTAAATGGAAGGATGACTAGAGCTTTGCTTCGTTCCTCTTGACTTTTCAAAATCACGCCAAGATCCTACTCCACCTTGGCCTTATCCAAACGTTGCGAGCTGCCAAGCGACTCCAACAGTCGAACTAGGTGGAGCAGTCGAGGTCGGCGCGAGCGAGCAACCAATGGAGGGGAAGCTGTCAGAGGCGTCGAAGCGGGCGGCCCCGTCGCCCATCCAGCAGCTCTCCCACCTCGCGCAGCGCGTCGGGGCCGTCAACCTCGCCGAGGGGTTCCCCGACTTCCCCGCGCCCGCCCACGTCAAGGCCGCCGCCGCCGCCGCCATCGCCGCCGACCTCAACCAGTACAGGTCCGCCTCCCGTGACTCCATCGCCACTGATTCAGTCACCCTATTGTGACGCGCGTTTGGATGGCTGGCTCAAGGCATGTGCAGGGAGTCTGCGACGTCCTCGCGGCGACCATGAAACGGGACCACGGCTTCGATGTCGACCCCCTCACGGACTTCGCCATCTGCTGCGGGCAATCCGAGGCCTTTGCCGCGGCAGTATTTGCAAGTAGTACCTCATGCAAACTACTACTAATGCTCATTCTGTACATATGATATGGGCTACTGAATCGTGGCAGCTCAAGGGGAATGCTGTACCTGGTGAATGTACTGATGCATATGCGGTTTCTGTTCCTGCAGTTATAGACCCAGGGGATGAGGTTCTCCTCTTTGACCCGGCTTACGAAACGTATCAAACATGCATTGAGCTGGCCCGGGGCGTCCCTGTATGTCTTTCGTCTGATCCAAAGTTTTATTTTCAGACATGAATGATGATGGTCTTCTGCTGACTAATTACGTGTTTGTGTAATTTAATTTATGTGCATGAAGGTGTATGTGCCATTGGATCCACCTTCTTGGACACTGGATGCGGATAAATTTCTGAAGTCGTTTACTAGTCGGACAAAGGCAGTGGTCTTAAATAGGTGAATAGTTCCCACTATTTTCGTGGATATACTGCTAACTTAGTAGATGCCACTGTTATGTTTATCCCTACGATGCTTACCTCTGTAAGTAGCACGAGTGATTTGCACTCATTGTACTAGTCATTTGGTTGAGTCCAACTGTGCTGTTTCAATTTGTGACATGGTTAAATCTCATTACTGCAGCCCACATAATCCAACAGGAAAGGTCTTTAGCAAGGAGGAATTGCTTATTATTTCTCAAGCTTGTCAGCAAATGGACTGCTTTGCAATAACTGACGAGGTAAATCTGCACGATCACGTGGACAGAAATAGCTTTTATAGTAGTTAAACATCTTCAGTAAATTCATTAATCCGTTTGTCTGTTTTTGAAACGAGTCTAAAATTATGGATATTCTAGGTTTATGAGTATATTACTTATGATGAGAACAAGCATATCTCTCTGGCTTCTCTTCCAGGAATGCAACAGAGGACAATCATCACATCCTCACTGTCAAAAACATACAGTGTAACTGGTGGGTTACTCAGTTACATAGCTAGGCTCATTGTACAGATTTACTCATAGTGTTGCTCATTGTACAGATATATTGAGTAACTGTGCAGATTTACCATGAATCTGTATGATGCAAGTGTAAATTTTGCTAGTGACGTGGGATGTTAACATTAGCTGTATAAACTGACTAGGTTGGAGAATTGGTTGGGCTTGTGCTGCAGCAAACATAGCCACAGCAATAAGAAATATCCATGTCAAACTGACAGATTCAGCTCCTGCACCATTCCAAGAAGCTGCATTGATTGCGCTAACCAGCACACCAGACTACTATGAGTCCCTTAAAAAAGTAAGGTTTCATGCTAACTGTTTATGATTAATGTCATTCTATCAAATTCAATTACCCATCGTCGTTTTAACTGTACTTACCTTGGAAAGGACTATGCAGAGAGAAGAGACTTCATTCTTCAGTTACTGAAAAATTATGGTTTCCACATTAGCTTCAAGCCACAAGGTTCAGTCTTTGTGTTTGCTGAGTTGCCCAAGTCCTGGCAAATTTCCGACGTGAGTTCCTTTTACATACTGAACTTTTGTTGAAATATGAGATCATGAATGAGAAAACACCACTATTATCTGATAATTCAACCACGTGGAGCAAACAATTGTTTATTAAATTGGGAGGTAAAGCAAGATATTATTGCACTGGCACTTGGTTTGCTTTATTAGTTACACTGGTCCCTCTGAAGACAAACTAATCCAGAACAGTTAACTGTCTATAGATTTTCAGATATTTTGGTACTAATAGTGTCACATTCATCAAGCTTTATTAGTTACCGACTCTTCAACATGTTGTTATTATCTCTAATTCTCTATCAAGGAAATGCTTTCGAAGTAACCAGTAGAGCACCAACACTCAACAACTGAGACCATTTCCCTGTGATGTCAATGCAGATAGATTTCGTGACGAACTTGATTAACAATGCTGGTGTGGCGGCAGTACCTGGTCGTGGCTTCTTCCACACAGATGCCGACGACCAAAGTTACCATCACCGTTATGTGAGGTTTGCTTTTTGCAAGAGCGATGAGACCCTCAAGGCTGCTGCCCAGAAGATGATGAAGCTGGTTAAAAGCAACGAAAAAGTGCCACATGACACACAAAGCTTTTGCGTGTCCAAGAAAGGAAGGTGAGACTCAGATCATAATACCCTCTGTGGCATTTCTTTTCACTGGAAATGCCTTCAATATCTCCTACCCCCCTGTCCAAAATAAGTGTTGTGGTTTTAGGTCAAATTAGAACTAAAACCATGACACTTGCTTTGGAACGGAGGGAGTAGCAGCGTTGTAAACACAGAAATTTGAGTTTTCACACACATTGTCATTTCAACACAGGAATGAACATGTTACCAAGTAAAGATGCTCGGAAACTACAGCCAAGGCAGTGTTGGAGCTGATCCTAGCTCCCTTCTTCCACATGGCTGCTTCACACAGTTTGCATAAGAACACATGAGGCATGAGTTTGGTGACGTGCTGTTTCACACAGCAAGCGTCTTTTCTCACTTTTATTCCCTTGGTTCAAAGTAAAAATGATTACAGTGCTTATATAGGCTCACGCACCCACAAAGCCACCCTCCACACTTGCCTAACTAACTCCATGCACTAACTAATCGCTAGCTACAATTGTGTAATTTTCTGATGGTATAACTTTTGTGATGTAAAACTTGTATTACATTCATCGAATTGGTGATATAAGGATACACGTGGACCTTTCAAACTGGAAAGGAGGGAGTAGCTAATACTTCACAAGGGGGGTAGAAAATTAGAATATTGTACTCCCTCCGTTCCCAAATATAAGTCTTTTCTAGAGATTCCAACAAGTGACTACTCCCTCCGTTCCGAATTACTTGTCTCGGAAATGGATGTATCTAGAACTAAAATACATCTAGATACATCCATTTTTGTGACAAGTAATTCCGAACGGAGGGAGTACATATGAAGCAAAATGAGTGAATCGACACTCTAAAATATGTCTATATACATCCGTATGTTGTATTCCATTTAAAATATCTAAAAAGACTTATATTTAGGAACGGAGGGAGTATTAAGTAAGATGACATACTGTTGATAATAACATTCCCCTCACATTGTATTCATCGTCGGGGCTCGGTGCCGAAGATGCAATTGCAGTTTTTTTTCATTACTATCAGTGAGACTCATTCTTGAAGATCTATCCCATCTAACATCTCCCTCTACATTTTTTTGTCTATATTTGCAAATGAATAAACGGAGAGCAATATATATCTATAAGTCATGTAAAAGACTATCCATAATCTGATCATAAAGTAATAATAATTTGTCACATAGCAAAATCACACCATAAAGATTATGTCAGATCAGATGGATAATCATGTGATCTGTGTATTGAAGTATGGGAGAGAAGATGCTAAATATAATTGTTACAAACCCACCATTGTGATGGATGAAAACGGCATTGATAAATATGATGGTGATTAGGGGGTATATGTACGCGTCAAGGGACAAAGTAGGGCACCAGGGTGAGGCCCACACCCAGGGGTCTCCGTGTAGGTCCCACATAGCACCCATGGCTCTCCTTTGGCAGATGTTATCATCCATGTTTCTGGGACCAACATAATTTTGTTTTATGTTTATAAGAACTTCGTAAGTTCTCAAAAATCCTAGTCACGGAAACAAATATTGTCCTTTCTGATACTCTATTAATATGTTAAGTCAAAAAATTATTAAATTATAGATAATATGACAAGATGTAATATGGAAACTGAAGAAAATATGCCCTAGAGGCAATAATAAAGTCGTTATTTATATATTCTTATATCATGATAAATGTTTATTATTCATGCTAGAATTGTATTAACCGAAAATTTGATACATGTGTGAATACATAGACAAAACAAAGTGTCCCTAGTATGCCTCTACTTGACTAGCTCGTTAATCAAAGATGGTTAAGTTTCCTGACCATAGACATGTGTTGTCATTTGATGAACGGGATCCCATCATTAGGAAAATAATGTGATGGACAAGACCCATCTGTTAGCTTAGCATAATGATCATTAAGTTTTATTGCTATTGCTTTCTTCATGACTTATACATATTCCTTTGACTATGAGATTATGCAACTCTCGAATACCGGAGGAACACCTTGTGTGTTATCAAACGTCACAACGTAACTGAGTGATTATAAAGATGCTCTACAGATGTCTCCGAAGGTGTTTGTTGGGTTGGCATAGATCGAGATTAGGGTTTATCACTCCGAGTATCGGAACCCCCCGGGGAAGTAATGGGCCTACATGGGCCATAGGGGAAAGAGAGGGGAGCCCATAAGGGGTGGCGCCCCCCCATGGGTTGCCCGAATTGGACAAGGGGAAGGGGGCGCGGCCCCCCTTTCCTTCCCCCTCCCACTCTCCTTCCCCCTCCCCCCTACGAAAGAAGGAAGGAGGGGCGACTTGGATTAGGAGTCCTAGTCGGTTTCCCCCCATGGCGTGCCCCCTATGACCGGCCTCCTCCCTCTCCTCCTTTATATATGGGGACATGGGGCACGCCAAAGCACATCAATTGTTCTTAGCCGTGTGCGGTGCCCCCTCCACAGTTTATGTAACGACCCGAGACCGACGCTCCAGACGCCTTTCATGTTTTTCGTTGTCGCCGTGTGTTTTATTTGCTTGTTGCCTTTCATCATCGCATCATTCGCATTGCATCGACACTATGTTGCCGCCATTTTTCAAAACTTGCATTTGTTGGTAGTGCCGCTTCCCGTTTGTCTTTATTGATCGTTCCGAGATCAACCGGGTTTCTCGTTTCCCTCTTATTTGACCACCTAACCTCTCTGCTCAGGTCTCACACCCCCTTGCGCGCGTTCAAAACTGCCCCGAACCTGACCCGCTCAGTCATCACCGTTGGATCCAGATCATCCTCAAACATCCCTAAAATATCTTCGGTTCTTTGTTAGACTCCCCTAAGCTATTTATTTCGGACTGTCCGATTTTGATCGAAGGGACCAAATCGCCAGCATCTAGTTCCCCTACCTATTTATAAGCAGACCGAACCCTAATCCGAGGAGTTGTCCCATCCATTCCCTCACCCGCCGCCGCCACCCACTCACCATCTACATCGGGATCCTCCCGATCCATCCAACCACCTACCTCCTCATCTTGCACACCCAGCCAGTCACCGCCCGATCCAGTCGGGGGCCTCGATCTGGGGCATCCCTAAGTGCCCTCCCTCATGCCCGAGCCACTGTCCAGGAGCTCCTCGAGCACCCGCGCTCGTCGCCGGTAGAGTCCACAGCCAGACTGTAACACCCCGGTAGTTAAGCTACAGTAACCACACACTAATGGTGCCACGCCATCACAATTAATTATCTAAAATCTCAATTTGATCCAAATCGAATTCAAATTCAACTTTAAAATAAAGTCAAATTATTATTTCTTCAAGTGGAAAAACAAAAATGTTCGCTGAGTTGAAAATATTCACTAGCTAATTATAATGTAGGAGTTAACATTTTTCAAATATAAAAGAAACACCTCTAGATAAGAAACAGTACCAACACAACCCCCTTTAAGTCATTTTCGTTTAAAACAAAACACAAACAAATTCTAATAGCCCCCAAACTTTTTGGGGCAGTCCATAACATTGCCAAACATTTTTATGGCAGGTATCACGTTCAACAAAATTCATTTGGTACAGAAATGAATTGCAAAACAGGAGCAATAAAAAGTAAAAGAAAACAAAACTAAAGCCTACTGTGCTACTAGGCCTAATTAAACTACAGTGCAGCCCAACCCACGCACCCCAGCCTTTTGGTCCTCCTCTCGCTACAGGAGGAGGCCGAGGCACCATGGCCGCAAGCGCTCGACACCGCGCACTACAACACCGCGGGAGGATAAGGCTGCCACCGCGACTCCTCGGGCGACCCCCTCGAGATATTTTCCTCCCTCGCTCGCCCCTCTCCTCACATCCATCGATCGCTCCCCACCTTCCGGAGCGCCTTCGTCGCCGTCGCACCGTCGGTTCCACCATGGCCACCGGCGCCCCCCTGCGTCCCCGGGTTGTCCACGGGCCGCGTCTGCTACGACCTCATCTTCTGCACCAAGCAGTCGGAGCCAGGGAGTTCTACGTCGACCGGATCGACTACGTCGTCCACCTCGGGCTCCGGCGCACGCCACCATCGATCTGCACTACTTCGGCCCGCATATGCTTCCTCGAGCTCACGTTGACCTCACTGTGAGCCCCGCCCGCACCTCTGCATCGTTTTGTGCTCGAGCCCAAGCTTATGCGTGCCGACCATCGTCGCATGTAGTCTCGCCGACCGCGCTCCGCTACCGCCCCGACCTCGTCCGCCTTCGCCCACCGCGGCGGCGGCTGCTCCCACCGTGCCCCAGCTCGCGCCGGCCGAGCCCCAACGTGCGCGCCCGCAGCCGCTGCTCTCTGTGTGCTGTCGCGATTGCTCTTGCCGCTGCTTGGCCACTAGCTGCTGTTGTTCTCCTAGCTACTGCTGTGTGCTGCCCTGCTGCTGATGCTCTAGTCCTTGCTATTGCTCTACTTGCTGCCACGACCGCCGTGCTGCCGCTGCTCTATGTTTCTAAGCTACGGCTGTTGCTCTTGTGCTGCGTTGCGGCCGCCTACAGCTCCTAGCTGGCCATGGAGCTCGTGCTCCTTGAGCACAGCCGTGGTTAGGCCACTGCAAGTGGCCGGCCTTGTTTAATTAGACTAGGTCTAATTAGGACCAATTAGGACTAGTTTAGTAGCACTAATTTAGTACTACTAGTTTAGTCTGTAGAGTAAATGACATGTGGCCCCTAGTTTAAATTAATTTAGCCTAAGTAATCTACACCTATGACCATGACATGTGGGCCATGCTATCCCTTTTGACTAGTCAAAAGTTGACTGGGTTGACTGCACTTTAGAAATTAACTTTCAAATTTAAAACAATTCAAAAAATTCTAGAATATTATTAAAGCTTTAGAAATTCATATAAAATAATCCGTAAATCAAATGAAAAAGTTTTATACATGAAAGTTGTTCAGAACGACGAGACGAATCCGAATACGCAGCCCATTTGTCCGCCACACATCCTTAGCATAGTGAACACGCAACTTTCCCCCTTCGATTCATCTAGGCGAAAACGCGAAACACCGGAGATATTTTCCCGGATGTTTTCCCCCTTCACCAGTATCACCCCATACCGCGTTAGGGCACCCCTAGTACCGCTTCTTGTCATGTCATGCATCGTTGTGCATCTGTTTGCATTGTATTCATTGTTTCTTCCCCCTCTTCTCTCCGGTAGACTACGAGACTGACGCCGCTGCTGGTGCCCCGATCGACTACGGTGTTGACGGCCCCTCTCTCTTGCCAGAGCAACCAGGCAAGCCCCCCCTT